AAAATAGCCACCCATTACAACAAACTTCATTTTTATTTTCTTTTACCAAAAAGATTGTTGGTTAGGAAAGGCAAAAAGAACCCTGGAATTCTTAACAGACGAACAGTTGAGCCTTGGAAGTGCAGTGACTGTCCATGCAGCCAAATGATATCTTGAAGAATAAGACATTCTCGTGTTATTAATTCTATCAGTGACATTCTTAGGAAAACCACACAAATAAAAATGGCAAGAGCTGGCCCTTGGTCGTACGGGCTGGGTTGATCAGTTACGCTACACTAATGAAGTGTATCTAAAACTACCCCAGCATGTACAATAGTTTCGTTAAATACACTTTCGTCAGGAAAGTCATGACACATTTTTGCATAGAAAATTACATCATAACTTTTCTGATGATGAACAGCAAATCTCAAAGTACTCATCGCTAAAATTTACCTCTCTTAATTCTCCGATCCTCCGAAGTGCTTTATCTTGACTCTGACTTAATATACCCTGTAATTTAGAAAACAAAAACAGCTGGTTAAATAACTGGATGACACCATAATGCAGAGAAAGACAAAAAAATAAGTATTTCTAAAATATTACAACTGTTAAATAAGTTTATTTTTATCTAAAAATGGAAAACAGGACCAAAAATGTTAAGACTATACTCATTAATAGAACTGTGTTAAAAGTTAAACCATGATGCTATAGGACTGTTCTGCCCCTGGGCTATGTGGCAGTTGTTACACAACTCATTACATCTGTTAAAATGCATAGACATAAACCAAACAAAAAGTCAATTTTGCTACATGTTCATAAAAAAAAAAAAAATTGGGGGGGAGCTGGATAGTAAAAGACTCTCCTTCAGTATTTTTCACAGAAGAGGGACAAGGGTTAAAACACCACAAAATGTTTATTGACAGTAAGAGTCAATAAACGTTAGCTCATATGAATAATTTAGACAGTTCTTATAATTTTTAATCTCATTGGATCAACTGAAAGGAGATTTGCCTACTAAGAAGTACGCACATATAGGTATGTCAACATGTGAAGAAAAGCTTACAGAAGACTGAATTTTTTATCTCCAACACCTTTTATATGTGAAACTATGAAACCACAATTCACCACCACCACCTAAGTGTTACAACTATGTACATCTAGAAATAAAAATGCATTTACAGGGCCAGCAGATGGTTAAGACACTGGACTTCTACACGCCCCACCATGGTTTGAGTCTCAGTCCCCAAGGCTTGAAACACACACAGTGCGTGTGTGTGCGTGCCCCAAATCCCAAGAGGAGAATGGAGGTCAAGAGATTACGACACGGCCACCCCACCCCCTGGGGGAAGTGATTTCTCACTTTTTGTCTTTCTGGGAAATGCACATGCCCAATAGCAAAAACTTTCCCTTAAAAAAAAATTTAAAAATGAAGAGTTAATTTGTAGAAACAAACAAGGTACCCACAGAATTTAGGAATTAAAATAACTTTTTGAAAACAAATGTATAAAATATTAGTAAGACAATGGATTAAATCAGATGTATCCCCCATTTTGATGAGCTCCATGTTTCAGAAAATATTATCAAACAAAAAACTATTTATAATAATTTAATTTTTATATTATGAACAGTTACAAAAGAATAACAGCCATAAATAACTGGCACAACCACCCCAAAATCATTGTATTCCAGACCTGAACCAGAAAATGTAATGCTGTGGGGCCAGCAAGTGGTGTAGTGGTTAAGGAACTAGCCTCCCACATGGATGACTGCAGTTCAAGTCCTGGACCTGGGAGATTGCTTTCTCACTTTCCTGCTCTCTCTTTCTCCCCTTCACTCTCTGTCACTCTCTGGTCAAATTAAAATTTATATAAATAACTTTTTGATTATGTAATTGTCTTCTTTAAATGAGGCAGAATGCTAAACTATTTGAAAGAACTATTACTTTAAAAAAAAAAGATATATATTATTTAAAAACATAGCAAACTAACAACATCATTTGAACTGGAGTGGGTATTTCCCCTTAGCCCTGATACATGAATTATCATCTGAGATCCCTGGCAGGAAATTTCTGGCCAAAAAAAGGCTGAAAGAGTGGGGCCAAGGTGGTCACCCAGAAGAGCTTAATAGTTAACCAAGAGCTCTCCAAGCAGCAGCCTCAGGAAATATTTATTTTACAATAAAGAATGCTTAAGTGTAGCTCTTGATGTAGTTAAAAATAAGAAGAAATATCTGCAGGTATTTAAGAAATAAAAAGGAAAGCATAGATTAAATGTCTTTATTACTAGAAGCAACCTACAGCTTGAGACACTAGGAAACATGCCTGAAAAGGCAGACATGCCTTAAATCCAAACTTCTTAAACACTGAAATGCCCTACAACTCAAAGAAGCCCATCCCAACAGAGGAGAGGTGAAATATTTGGGATCTCTCATGCAGTCTCTCTTTATCAAAACCTCCAGTAATGGGGACCAGCAGTTGGCATAATGGCTATGTCGCTGAACTCCCATGTAGTCAACCACGGTTCGAGTCCCAGACCAGGTATCTTAAACTCATGCCGGATATGTGTGTGTGCGTGCCCAAGATCCCGAGAGGAGAATGGAGGAGAAGGGATTGCAGTGTGGCCATCCCGTGCGCGGGGGGTGGGGGTGATTTCTCACTTTCTATCTCTCTGTCTCTCTCTGTCTTTCTGGCGAGCACATGTGCCCTATAGCAAAAATCTCTCCAAAATAAATAAATAAATAAAATAATTTAAAAAACCCTCCAGTAATGGTAAACCTGGCTAAACACTTGATCACATGGAAAACTGTTTAAAAGGGAGCATTAGAAATATCTTAATGCAAGATCTTTTCTAATTTAAAAATTACATATGACCCACAAGAGCCAATAAATCACTTACCTGTAGCTTTTTCTTCTCTCTCTGAAGAGTCTGAAAAGCTGTAACAAGCTAAAATGAAGTCACCGATAACATTAGTCATTCTCCAAATAAATGCAATTAATTATTATAAACTGTGTATACATTTCTTTATAAAAAATCTAATAAATTAGGAGTTTTTTAAAGACAAATGAACTGAATTAAATGCATGACATAAGAAATGTTTCCAAAAAGTAAAGTCTACCTTGACTATGATAATGAATCTCTACATGACTTCACTGCAGACACACACATGCCTTTCTAAATTTCCATTCCTGATCTACAAGCGGGGGTTACAGCCAACTGGCCTGAAGGCAGGAGGCTACCCCAACTGCAATCAGAGACTGTACCAGCGACAGCAACACGGGGGTTTGCTGAAAACGGAACCTCTCGGGCCATCTCAAACTAGGTGAGTAGGAGTTAAAGGAAGGAGCATAGCGAGGTAGGGACAAGCTCTTCAGTGATGTTCTGTTGTGCTGGCTTACAATGTACCATGTAACTGATCTCTGAAGTTCCTTCTGGTTAAAGGGTCTGTGACTACGGCTCTGCAAAAATTGGAGAAACGAAGTTCATAACCAAGTGAAGAAAACTGGTGACACAAGTCTTAAAGAAATGCTTAACCCAAATAAGATATTTACACATTCTAGCATCATTTGATGCAATTAAGTATTAACTAAAAAAAGTTAATGAATTATATAGCACTACTCATCTGAAGGCTAAACACATGGTTCTGGTGAAATTTTTGACCCCGACTTTAGGAGTGCTAGTGGTCTCTGAAGAGATAAGCTGTAGCATTAAGAGGAAGCACTCATATATGCACGCATGTGTGCACGCACGCACACACACAAACACACACCCCTATTCTGAGCTTTGCCATTTTCCTAGGAAGGCTGGATTGAGTCCTGAACTCCCCTATTGATGTGCTCAGTCAAGAGGGAGGCAGCAATAAAAGATGTGTCTAGCAAGAGAGATAAGAATAAAAAAAAGATGGGACCAGCAGTTAGCGTAATGGCTTCGCTGCTGGACTCCCAAGTAGTTGACCATGGTTCGAGTCCTGGACCCAGTGGCTTAAACTCACGCCAGGCGCGTGTGTGTGCGTGCCCAAGATCCCAAGAGGAGAATGGAGGAGAAGGGATTGCGGTGTGGCCATCCTCCTGGGGGGTGATTTCTCGCTTTCCGTCTCTCTGTCTCTCTCTGTCTTTCTGGTGAGCACACATGCCCCATAGCAAAAACCTCTCAAAAAAAAAAAAAAAAATACAAAAAAGCAAAATTCTGCCTAAGACCGGGACTCTCTCCTCCTTGTTCTCTTTGACCGGATAAGAAAAGGGGTTGAAGGAAAGGGGCAGGGAGCACGTGGGACAGTAGCTAAGAGTCAGATGTCACTTGGAGTGCTATTTCACACCTATGATGGCAGGGAGAGGTCAAAACAACAAAGACTATAAGCTCTTTTCATCCCTAATACGCTGCTTGGTTCTGAGGTGTGACATAACAGTAGAAAAACCATGGCATGGTGGTTAAGGTGCTGGACATTCCCACGTGGCTGACCACGGTTCAAGTCCTGGACCTGGTGGCTTACTTTCTCACTCCCCCCTCCTCTGTCTCTTTCAGGTCAAAATAAAATGAATGAATAAATAAAATTAAATAAATAATTAAAAAAAAAAAAAAAAAAAAAAACCCTAGAGTCAAATCCAGACTTGGGCAACAGCTACCTGTGCAAATTAGTTATTACCCATGAATCTCCGATTCCTTTCCTACCAAACAGGACTAACTTACTTTACAGGGACGGTACAAGGTTAAATGACATTATAAATAAAAAATACACAGTAACTGGCATATCCAAATACTAATCATACTGCTGCCCCAGCCTCAAACATGAAAGCCGTGGGTAAAGAGTAACATACATATACATAAACAAGAGATTTGAGACATTTTTAAATAAAAAATAAAAGTAAAAATTTTGTGAACAGAAAAAGCTGCCTGATTCCACAAGTACCTCATGAAATATATTGCTTTAATTTCCTGTTTATATCTGTAGGTTCCATTCAGCCTCTAGTTTTGAGCCTGATAATTCCTTCCTGTAATGTGGGCAGTTTATGGTTTTAAAAGGATACTTTGTATATTTTATCCAGGGTTTTGTTTTAGGCTATAGGGTAAATCAACCCATATTGTCGTCATCAATGGAAACAGAAGTTACAGCTAACTTGACATACCAATTCTCAACTTTAGTATTCATGAATTAAAATTTACTGCGGGGATGACTTCTAAACCATAAGACAATAAAACATTACATATTGTTTAACACAAAACAAGCAAGCCACGGACAGCTTACTCTAAAGGCTTTTCTGAAGAAGAAGGATGCTAACTGCACAGGAGGGGAGGGAATGAGAGCGGGAAACTGCCGCACTCAGCCGGAAAGGAAGGTGCCATGTTCCTGAGGGCCCGAAAGGAAGAAATGGAGCCGCACTACCTCCCTCCTCCCTCGGACCAAACTAGGAGTGTCGTCCCCAAGGAGTTCAGCAGTTACGAAGTTCTTTAGCAGTCCACTGCGAAGATGCTGTACTTCTACTCCTCTGGCTGGGACCCATGAGAGCCTTGGTTTGATTCCCATCTAAGCTAAACTGGGTGTGATGGCTTGCGCCTGTAATCCCAGTGACTCAAAACCCTGGGCCGGAAGTTCCTGAACTCAAGGCTGGTCTGGGCAATACAATGAGACCCAGTCTAAAAAAAACCACATGTGGGGCGGGGGTGAGCCCATAATCTCAACTGGGAGCCATGAATCCCAACTGGGAGGTTGAGGCAGGAGGATCAGAAAACAGTGAGACTCTGTCTTTAAAAAAAAAATTCATTTGGAGGCCAGCAGGCGGTATAATGGTTAAGGCACTGGACTGCCACAAGACCAACCATGGCTCAAGTCCAGGACCCAGAGGCTTGAAATTCACACCAGGCACATGTGCATGCATGCCCAAACTCCTGAGAGGAGAATGGAGAAGGGACCATGGCGTGACCATACCCCCAATGGGTGATTTTTCACTTTCCCTCTCTCTCTCTCTCTCTCTCGCTCTCGCTCTCGCTCTTGCTCTCTCTCTTATCACGTGCCCTATGGCAAAATCTAAAAACAAACCAAAAAAGTCACTGAAGTCACTAATAACAGAGTAATTTTAGAGTCAAAGTACTTAGAGATGAGCAAGGACGGGGTGTGAGGGAGAAAGAGGATGAGTTCTGCACCAAGTGTCCTAGTGACCGTGGTGAGAGGGGCTGGGAAAGGGAGAGACACAGAATGTGAGAATCAGAAGCCTGTGGACAATCTACAGTCTTACCAAGAACATTACCAAAGGGTTTCTGGACCACTGAAAGTCTTTACCCAGATATCGCAGGGCTATCTGCCACTAGTAGCCAGGGTATCTGAGGAACCAACGGTTTAGCTAACCACAGGTGTAAACCCAACACAAAATATAAACAAAAGAACAAGAGAAAAATGTTTGTACAGGTAAAAGGTCATGCTCCTACCTCAGAATACTTTCCTCTGTATCTGCTTAAACTTCGTTCCATTCTTCGCAAACGCTGAATCAACTGGTCCTTGCTGAGGCTGTCTGAGTTCCCCAGTGAGTCTTCGGCTTCACTCTCCATATCGGAAGGTGGGTCAAAGGTGACAGTGTTAGAGTCTAGGTCTAGGCGATGCAGAGACTCTCTGGAAGGTGTTCGTACCAAAGACTCTTTAGAAGAAGATCGGAATAGAGATTCCCTTATTGGACTTAGAAACAAAGACTCCACGGAAGGTACCCGAAGCTGGAGCTTCTGTGCAAAAGACTGAGTGTCGCCGGACTGCAACCAAAACCCAACAGAACAGGCTGGTTAAAATCCACACATTTAGATTTCCATTATGCCCTTTCTCAAGCAGTAATCTAATTAAAGCTCTAAAGAACTCCATTTATACGCCTGACATCTTACATATAATATAGTTTTCTGAAAAACCAAAGATACCTGGTTATTGCTTTACTTTTTTAAGAACTATTTATTTAATTTTATTTATTTACTTTCATTTGTTAGAGGGCACATGTGTTCACCGGAGAGAGACAGAGACAGAGAGAGAGAGAGAGTGAGAAAGAGAGAGAAAGAAAGTAAGAAAGAAAGAAAACAAGCAAGCTACCAGACCCAGGACTCAAACCGCAGTCAGCCGTGTGAGAGTCCAGTGCCTTTAAACACGGTGCTACCTGCTGGCCCCAGCACGTGGTTATTTCTTAAAAGGGCACTAGACCAGGACTAGGCTGCAGGTCTGTGGCCTATCATGTCTCGTAGAACAATCTTCACTAAGTGCACGTCTGTAAGAAAGGAGGCCACGCTTTCCCAGCTGACCTCAAAGGCAATGAGTTATGAGGACCTATCTGCTGAATGGTCGGATCTCTGAGGCAGTGACATCTGTGTACATCCATCCCCCAGTACAGGCCTGGGCCTGACACGTGGGAATGCACCGAGGAGTGTGCAACTCAGCTCGAGTGAGCTTTACACGGAGAGTCTTTATGAGGTGGTGATTCCTGGCCATTCTCAGCAGAGGGGAAGGAGGACGCAGCGTGTGTAGTAAGTCCACTTTGTTGCATAAGGGAATGTGAGGCAGAGCGGATTAGTGACATTCTGCTCTGCTCTGCTTACCATTCTGTCTAGTGGGAATAAAAGTAAGCATTAACAAATCATGGAGGACAGCCGAAAGGTCTGAGCGAGGCTCTCTGCCCAAATCAGTTAAACCTGACGTGAGAAACAGTGATAGCTGTCCTCTCGATTAGTGTGAACAACAACATAGTCATGTGAATAGCAAAATGAAAAATAATGCAACAAAATTCAACTGACTGCTCTTTGCAACACTGCTCTGTTCAGGTCATAGCTAAGCACTTAACAGGTGTTTCCTAGAAACTCACTCTCATTAGTGCAACAACAGGGTCACGTGTAAGATCTCAGCGACGACAAGGGAAAAAAGCTCAAGGGAGACTAAGATCACGTATGTGTATATACAAAGACGACAGGAAAACAAAGGTTGCCTTTACTTACAACTTGAAAAAATCAAAACAGAAACATTTTGCTAGAGGATTTTCGAGGTTTAACAACAATATTAAACTAGGTGGAGTAAAAGAAGATATATGCCCCACCTCCTTCACACACACTCAAGTTTATCACTTAAGTTATCACAGGTTGTTTATAATAGTAAAAACTGGAAACAACCCAAATGTTCACCACTAGGGGATAGATTATATAAACTACAATATCAACAAATTTCAAGGTATACCATTAAATGAAGAAAAAAAAAAAAATAGAGGGCCAGCAGGTGGCGAGGTGGTTAAGGGTACTGGACTCCCATATGGCCGACTGTTCGAGTCCCAGACCAGGCAACTTGTTTTCTCTCTCTCTTTCTCTCTCTGTCCCTCTCTGGTCAACTTAAAAGTAAATAAAGTTAAAAAAAATAATTCTTCAAAAGAAAATTTGACTATTGGGGCTACCTCTTTGGTCTGGTCAAAAGAAGCCAGATCCCATGTGGCCTATTGCAGTTAGAATCCTAGCCTGATGGCTTGAAAAAACCCACCAGGCACACGTGCAAGTGTATCCAAAATCCTAACAGAATGGAGAAATGGAGGACAAGGGATTGTGGTGTACTCATGTCCTGTTGAAAGTGCTTTCGCCCTCTCCTTCTCCCACTCCTTCCCCTTGCTCTCTGTCATTCTCCAGCCAATGTATATGCCCTTTGGCAAATTTATAAGGTATCAGGTTATTGGAGCCAGCAGGTAGCATGGTGTTTAAGACACTGGATTTCTACATGGCCAATTGTGGTTTGAGTCCCAGACCTGGTGGCTTGTTTTGTCACTCTCCCAAAACCCCCACAGGTGTGTCTCTCTCTGATCAAATTAAAAAGATAATGATTGATAAAATTAAATTTTAAAAAAGATTTCAGGCTATTAAAAATTTGAATATTTTAATGCATTTGATTTAATTACATATACTTTTCAATGTATATGTATGTTTATACAAATCCCCTTAGAACCAAGTCACAAAGGACAAACACCAAAGTTAACAGTGGTTCTCTCTGACTGGTACAATTTGGAGTGGTTGGGTATTTTTTTTTTTTTTTTTAGAGAAATTTTTCCTATAGGGTGCATGCATTCGCTGAAGAGACAGAGAGACAGAAAGCGAGAAATCACACCCCAGAGGGGATGGCCAGGCCACAATCCCTTCTCCTCTATTCTCCTTTTAAGATTTTGGGCACACACATACACGCACCCAGCATGAGTTTGAAGCTGCCAGGTCCAAGACTAGAACTGTGGCAGACTACGTGGGAATCCAGCGACATAGCCGTTACCCCATATGCTGGTCCTGACTGTATTTTTCTATACTTTCTGCCCTTGATATTCTATTACGGGCCACTTCTAAACTATCTGAAAAGTGTTTTTCAGTTCACAGCAGACAATATTCTCACAGACTATTGTGAAACACCAGAGTTTCAGCAAAAACTTGTCCAAAAAAAAAGAAGAGGAATTAAAAAAAAAGAAATTAAAAAAAAATTTACAAATAAGAATGTCATCACCAGCTGAGAGAGCAGACTTTTTGGGGGTTTTATTTTTTATTTTTTGAAGAGGTTTTTGTTATATGGCACGTGTGCTCACCAGAAAGACAGAGAAAGACAGAGAGACAGAAAGCGAGAAATCAGCCCCCAGGGGGGATGGCCACACTGTAATCCCTTCTCCTCCATTCTCCTCTCGGGATCTTGGGCATGCACGCACATGTGCCTAGTGTGAGCTTAAGCCATCAGGTCCGGGACTCAAACCACAGTCGACTATATGGGAGTCCAGCGACATAGCCATCACACCAACTGCTGGCCCCTGACTATTTTGGTTTCAAAAGCTAAGAGCATGGGCTAACTTCACCCCAGACTTCATGACCTTTTACAAGCGGGTCCACAGTCTCTCCATCTCTGCAGCTTTGTCATCATGCTTTCTACAAACTAGGTACTCTGTACTCAGTTCCTTCAAATGAAACCTAACCTGGCGACATGACAATAATAATCCAGCAGAAGGGATTTGAAGGCTCAGTGCTTGCTCGACATGATATGGACAAGGCCCAATCACAGTGGTAGAGCACAGCTGAGCAGGGACAGAGCCACACAGGAGGCCCAGGTTCCGTCCTCGGATTACCTAAACAGGCTGGGCACCACGGTGTGCACCTGTAACCCTGGTAACTAGGACGCTGGGACAGAAGAATGGTGATCTGGGGAAACTCTGTAAATAGCATGTGCCTACCCATCTCCAGGTCGCTCTCTACCATTTTCTCTCTCTCATTAAAAATAATCAAAACACTATTTTAAACCTCAAATATATAGCACGTTATTCTAGAAATCATCAAAAAGGATTAGCCTGCAATCAGTAACATTCAAAAAGAAAAAGGAAGACATGAAAACAAACACCCATAAGAAGACTTCGGTGATAGTGTGTGCCTAGTAATTTTATGGAAACAGCCCAGGTCCATGAGCAAGTGAACAGAACTGTGGAACCTTCGTTCAGAGGAATACTACTCAGCAATAAAAAGGAACTACTCATTGCCACAACATGGATAAAACTGGGAAAAAAACCATGCTGAGCCAAAGAAGCCCTCCACAAGAGTAAATGCTACATGAGGCTTCATATATAAAGCTCTACAACAACCAAAACTGACCACTGATATGGTGGGGAAAATTTACAACAGTGGTTGCCTCTGGGAGGGGGACCATAGGGAACATTATGAGTGTTGATAATGTTCTATAATCACTATATAAATTTGTTATATAGGTTTGGCATACATATTTATCAAAACACAATCAATGTACACTTGAGATTTGTATACTTAATCATATAAAGCTTTTTCTCCATGTTGGCCCCATAGCGCAGTGGCTAAGTACTATGAATGAAAAGCCAGATCCTGCAGGACCAACAGTGGTTTGAGTAGCAGCCTTGCCTTGAAAAACACACCAGGCCTGTGTGTGTGCCCAGAAACAGGATATGAGGGCAAAATGGGGGAGGGAGAACTGCGCTGTGACCAAAAAAAAAGGTAGAAAATGTACCTCAGAAAATAAAATACAAGTATTGACTTCTAGTTAGCAATACACAGGCTATGGGGCCAGCAGGTGGCACAGTGGTTAAGATGCTGGGCTCACACGTGGTCAAGCACAGTTTGAGTCCTGGAACCAGTGGCCTGAAACTCACACCAGGTGCATGTGTATGCATGCCCCAAATCCCAAGAAAATGGATGAGAGGAGCCTGCACCATGGCCATCCCCCCTGGGGAATGGTTTCTCGCTTTCTGTCTCCAGCAAGCAAACGTGCTCTATAGCAAAAATCTTTCTCAAAACAAAAATAAACAAGCTGAAATATTAGGAGAAAGTCTACTGTGGCTTGTAACTTACTTTGAAATGCAACCAAAAAGTAAGAACAACTAAGAGACAGATACTGAAAGATGCATAAACGGACAGATGTGTAATAAAGCAGTACAGTTAACTATCGACAACGGAATCTAAGCCGCAGGAAACAGATACTACCAAATTCTTTAACTTTATGTTTGACGTTTTTCATAGCAGGCTATAGATAATAAAAAGGAGCAGTATTCAAAAAATATCAAAAATTCAAAATTAAATTGTAATGGTCCTATAATTTCTCTTGTATTAAAAATTCAGAAACAGGCTGGCAGGTGGCATAAGTGATAAGGCTGCTGGATTTCCACAGGGCTAACCGTGGTTTGAATCCTGGACCTGGCAGCTTGCTTTCTCACTTTTCCTCTCTCTCGTGAGTGCTCTCTTGCTCCTGTCCCTCTCTGGTCAAATTAAAAAATAGTAATAATAATAATTAAGTTAAATAAAATAATTCTTTAAAAAAATTCACAAGTAATTTTCAAAACAAGCATTACCCTCACGATATTAATATGTACACACACACACACACACACAATGCCATTTAAATCCCTGTATTTTGTGTTATTCAATTTAATGAAATTCAGTTTTTTGTTGTTGTTATGTTAGAGGGTGTGTGCATGCAGAGAGAAAGAGAGACAATGCATCCCTAATGAGGTATGGGTTACACCACAATCCCTTTTCCTCTAATTCTCCATCCAGTCAGGATCCTAGGCACAAGTGCATGCTGGCATGTATTTCAAGCCACCAAAGGCTGAGACTCAAATCCTGGTTAGCCCTAGGGAATCATGGTTGGCAATATGGAATTCAGCTTCCTCTGTGTAGTACTTAACCATAGTGCTAGAGGGTGGGTCCTCATTTGGCCTTAAAATTAGGTCATCGGGAAAGTCATAACATATTTTTCTATGCAAAAATATGTCATTATTTTCCTGAAGACCCAATAGTATATAAATTCAAATGAGGCAAAACATGGCAAAAAAAACTACAGCTGGATAAGTGGTGTTGTGTGTCTACCTGTGATATTTCCATCACATTGTCAATAACAAGCCACTGCTCCTGGAGTAAATAATTAAGATTTAATGCTTGATTTCTCATCTATACAATGAAAACAATATTAAATCCTAGGTTCCTCCTCCACATTAAAATTATGATACAATGGGGAACAGCAGGTGGCATAGTGGTTAAGGCTCTGGACTCCCACATGACCAACTGTGGTTCGAGTCCCAGACTTGGCAGCTTGAAAATCATGTGTGAGTGCATGCCCAAAATCCTGAGAGAGGAATGCATTTCTCACTTTCCCTCTCACTGTCTCTCTCTGACAAGCACATGTGCCCTATGGCAAAAACCTTAAAGAGAGGGGAGGGACCAGCAATTAGTGTAATGGCTATGTCTCTGGACTCCCACATAGTCGACCGTGGTTCGAGTCCTGGACCCGGTGGCTTAAACTCACGCTGGGCACATGTGCATGCATGCCCAAGATCCCGAGAGGAGAATGGAGGAGAAGGGATTGCGGCGTGACCATCCCCCCTGGGGGGTGATTTCTCGCTTTCTGTCTCTCTGTCTCTCTCTGTCTATCTGGCGAGCGCATGCGCCCTATAGCCAAAAAACCTCTCTCCAAAAAAATAAATAAATAAAAAAGAGAGGAGAGAAAAAAACTATTATCTAATGAAACTATCTTACAACTTATCAAATAAAGAGAAATGCTCAAATATATCAATTACCTTGCAAAATGCATTTTCCTATACTATGTGGTGGCATATACTAGTTGTTTCAAACATCTGAGTTCTTACAAGGCTATTTAAGGTAAAATGTCAGCTATCTGCATGCTTTGGAGATGAATAAAGGAATGAAGCACTTTGATTAGCACCATTTTATGAACTGCATTAAATCATACTTTAAGATCCATCCTGGGGTGCCACACTGCAATCCCTTCTCTCCCATTCTCCTTTCTCATATGTGCTTGGTGTGACTTTCAAGCTGCCAGGTCCGGGACTCGAACTGTGGTAGGGTCCCGAACTGTGGTAGACCATGTGGGAATCCAATACCTTAACCACTATGCCACTTGCTGGTCCCACTACTATTAATACTTAAAATGAGAAATAATGGAACCTTACTTTCACTTAAAACTCTAAGAAACCATGCATAAAATGTTTGTACATCAGTTCAATGTAAAGTCAAATGTCAATAATAATCAATATTATAGATTGACCAACACTCTGAAATGACTTAGTATTTTTTTTACATAACAAGAGTAACGAACCTGAGGAGTGGTTGGTTCACTTCCATTAACACTGTCAGGATATTTTGTGGCATGGGTAGATGCATCCTAAGAAAAAGAAGAAAACATTGTAAAGAAAAAAAATAGAAAATTAAAGTTTTCAAACCCTGAAAAACAAAGTCCAAGTACCAAGACTTATTAGATACATTTATCTAATAAACAAAATTAGTAATGGTTCATTTTTTAGAATATTTTCATGCAAGGCCAAACTAGTATGGTAAGTACTTAAGAAAATTCATTTTGCTGTAATATATAGCTAGCAGAGATTAGTATGTAGCAAAATTATTTTGAGCTAGTCACATACCTCTTCCCATTAAGTCCCCAGTTTTTCCCCTTAACAAAAATCAGTAAATACGACTCACAAAACTCATTCAAATAGAAAGCTATCCAGAAAAAGAAGTAATATCAATTGTTCCTGCAATAAAATAATATTCAAATTAAAATTATTTGACCTAAGCTCTGAAAAATATCTTGATAACAAGAAATGGAAATGCCTCATTCATATGAAACAACTGTGACAATTCACAGAAAGCCTACAAATAAAAATCCCTTTCTTCGCATTTGAGAGCCTTCTGTTTCATTCTGTTGGTATGACAAATGTTCCAAGTTAAATAACATTCTACTGATAGCATCATATTGGCACAGAACGAATGAGATTCTTTGAGAATCAAAGTTCTATATTTCATTCACAATACACTACATGCCTAATTAAAATTAGAGCTATAATAGTATATATAACAAAATAATTTATGTTTTGAACAAAAGCATTCCACAAAATACTAGCCACTACATTTTATAATAGACACTTGGTAGTTTAATAGTGCATTTCCTCCAACTTCTACAGCAGACCAAGAAAAAGATGTCTAGGACCAGCACTTGGTGTAATGACTATGTCGCTGGACTCCCATGTGGTCAACCTCAGTTCAAGTCCCGGACCTGGATGGCTTAAACTCATGGCGGGCCCGTGTGTGTGCGTGTCCAAGATTCCAAGAGGAGAATGGAGGAGAAGGGATTGCAGTGTGGCCATGCCCCCTGGGGGGGTGATTTCTCACTTTCTGTCTCTGTCTCTCTCTGTCTTTCTGGCGAGCACACGTGCCCTATAGCAAAAACCTCTCAAAAAAAAAAAAAAAAAGAGCTCAAGGCTGGCCTGAACCACACAGCAACGTCATCTGAAAGAGTCAGGCCTAACATTGTGCACCTATAGTCCCAGCTAGGAGGCTGAAAACCTGTCCTTTTTAAAAAATAAAAAAAGAGAAGAAAAGAAAAAAGAAATCCACCAATACTTTCTACTGGAAGAAAATCTTAAATTTTTGAATAGTAGGAAAATACTTTTAAAGTATATTTAACTTAAAAGTACATACAGCCTCCCTCAAATTTGTCTTACCTTGTTTTTCAATCTTTCAACGACCATTTTACTGACTAAAGAGTACTAAATACATAGCAATTTTTAGAATTTGGGGTACAGAGATGCAGTTTTATAAAAACTGAATCAAGGGAAGTCAACAAGTCAACACCTGGTAAACTCACAATGGAATTAGGCCCTCATTCAATCTGTGTTCTAATTCAAGTCATGCTATGGCTTCCTTCTGTTTCATTGGGAGAAATAAGTCTTCATCTAAACAAACACAAAATTTAAATTACAATGAGGATTTTAAGTCTTCATAAATTATTTTTCAATAATTCTAAAGTCTCTACTTTTTTTTTTTTAAGAGAAATTTTTGCTATAGGGCACATGCCTGAAAGAGAGAGACAGAAAGTGAGAAACTGCCCCGCCCCCCGGGTGGGGGTGGTGGTGGCCACGCCACAACGCCTTCTCCTCCATCCTCTTCTCAGGACCTTGGGCACGAACGCACATGCATCCAGCTTGAGTTTTAAGTTGCTGGGTCCAGGACTCAAACCGCAATCAACTAGGTGGGAGTCCAGCCACGTAACCATTATGCCATCTGCTGATCTCTAAAGCCTCTCCTTCTACATTAACGGTGTTTCTAATACAAAAAATAGGGACTCAATACAAGTGAGTTTTACACACTTATGGGAGTGGGCCTAGGGAAAGTTCTTTTTTTTTTTTTTTTTTAACAGTTTTTATCTCTACTACAGGAAGTATAAAACAGTATAATTTTGTTTTAAAAATAAATGGGTAAGTTCTAATTAGGATACCTGTCAACCTCCCAATCCAGTTTAAAAACAGTGAGGTGATATTTATAGCAGGAGCAGAGGAGAGACCACTTTCCCTGGGACCCAAACTCAGACATCACTAGAAATCCCATTTTCATTCTGAGCTGCTTTCTTTTCTAAAACTGAGTTTAGACAGTTATTTAAAACTGCTACTGAACATATGCAGACCAAGGCTTTACATGGTCTTTAATTACAGAAATGTTCTACTTTCATCACCACCTATCTAGTAAGTTAAACCAATTCTCTTGTTTACAAAAACTTCACACCCAACTCGATCAGTATTCAATCTACTACCAAAAGCTATACTTACTAGGCAAACATCTCTAAATTTTAATTTGCCAAATTATGAACTTAGCAGATACTTGAAATCTGAAACAAAGTCCACTTTCCCATAATGAAATTAAATACAATTCAAAATTGTATGAATTCAATCAGTTGAAAAAAATGAGATAAATTATTTCCTTTCAGATGCTTAATAGACAAAGAGTTACTAATTGCAAAATAAGATGCAGTTACAGTAGAATCCATGTACTTACTCAATATTGTTTAATTATGCATTTACATAATAATTTTTTCCTTTAAAAATGTGAGCCAAATCTCCAAATACTCTTGGCTTCCTATCAACAGCAGAACAGAGATTTCCACAAATCTTTTTTCAGATAATAAGAAAACATAACCTAGGGAGAAGTGTCTAGACCAAGCTTCACTACATTAGTGACAGCAGTGTTACTCTGTTACTGTTAAAAAGCTCCCAGGAAGCACACCAGCCATCAGAACTCAGTGATTTACTCTCAGGTTTTTTAGAGCAGGGTTAGCAACAGGACACTGCGTATGCTTTGAGAGATTGTAAGTGACAAGCAACATGAGATTTGCTTCTACGAGTACCAAATTACTCTGCTTCCCCACAAGGGGAATGCAGAAAGCGGTGGAAGGACTCACCACACTGTCACTCTGCGTTTTAGGCTGCTTGGAGGAATCCAAAGCAAAGATAGTATACTCAGACAGAAAAGCAGGCTCTGCTATCATCCCGGCTAGAAGCTGTCTCATTCAGTGTAATAAGCGGAGGTATAAAAATAAAACAAATGATGAAAAACAAGTAATGGCATGTTGCAAAGTCTTCTCACCACACAGCACACATAACACTGCAAAGACCCTCACCCCACCAACCTCTACCCACAGAAATGAACTGCTGGAAAGATCAGGAAGTGAGGATGAGTTAACCAGTGTAGGATCTCAAAGCACAACTTATAAACAACTTGACTGCTGCCATACAAATTGTATATGTGACAAACACCACAGCACACAGCATGTCTAGCAATTTGGAATAAAAACCCATACCAATGAAAACAATACATGAAGGTTCAAAGTTTCAGTTATGTAACAGAAATACATTCTGGGGGTCGGGCAGAAGGCATAGTGGTTACATCACTGGGTTCTCACATGGCCGACCACAGTTCGAGTCCTGGACCCGGTGTCTTGAAATTCACACCAACCAAATGTGCTTGTGTTTCCAAGATCCCAGGAGGAGAACGGAAGAAAAGGGATTGCAGTGTTGCCATCCTCCCAGGGGTGATTTTTCTCATTCCCTCTCACTGTCCTTTCTCTCTCTCTCTCCCTATGGCAAGTGTACACACCCTAAGGCAAAAGCCTTCTTAAAAAAAATTCCGGAGATCTTCTAGGCAATACAGCGCCAACAGCTAACAAGACTGTATTGTATACTTTAAGTCTTCTTACCATGGTAATAATAATAATAATGGGGGTAGGAGAAAACTTTAGTGAAGGATATGCCTACAGCTTTGCTGACAGTGATGGTTTCACAGACACAGAATTATCCCAAAGTGCATCAATTGGTGTATGTTAAATAAGTATAGCTTTTTATATGTCAGTCATAACTCAGTAAAACGGGTTTTAAAAAAACACATGATAGGCCAGTCCCATGGCCTAGTGGTTAAGAAAGCTGGATCCCACAAGGCCCACTGTATGGTTCAAATCCCAGCCCTGGAACCTTAGGAAACATGTTGAGTACAAGTGCACACATCCCCAAAATCTCAACAGACTGGAGAAATGGAGGAGAAGGGACTGTGGCATGATGACAGCCCAGTGTGGGGTGCTTTCTCTCTCTTACTCGCCCCCCTCCCCCAAAGTGAAAGTGCACACATACAAGTAAATACAGTCACGCATCACTTAACACCAGGCCACATTCTGATAAACGCGCTGGTAGGAGATTTTGTCACCATACAAATATCTCAGGGTGCACTTTACACAAACCTAGACAGTACAGCCTACTACACACCTAGGCTAAATGGAGTATGTGTGCCTTATGAAATTACCTTCATATATGCATTCTGCAGGGTAATGAAAAGGCATTACATGGTCTATGACTGTAACCCAAAATTTCACAGGAAAGGGTAATATCTGAAACGTTAAGAGAAAAACACTAGAGCTGATGCCCAGTATAGAAAAATATGGGCCACCATTTGAAAACGTACTATCAAATGAAAGTTTATACTTGTGGCCCCTAGCCCCAGCAAAAGAAAATGGACCAAAGACAGTCACCTCAAACAGTAAAGAGTCTTTCTCCCTGTTTGTAACTCCCTTCCCCTCTTTTTTTTGTTTTACTTCTTACGGCTGTCAGTCTCACATGCAGGGGTTCTCTCAACTCAATTTCTGTCAAATCATTCAAATTCTAGTCCAAATCTGCCCAGGTTTAATTCATTCTTTTTCAGAGATATTTTTTTGCCATAGGGCATGTGCGTTCACCAGAGAGACAGAAAGTGAAAAATCACCTCCTGGGGGGGATGGCCATGCCACAATCCCTTCTCTTCCATTCTCTCCTTGGAATTTTGGGCACACATGCCCAGTGTAAGTTTTAAGCTTCAGGGTCTGGAATGAACTGTTGACTACATGGGAGTCCAGCAATGTAACCATGACACCGTTGGCTGGTCCCTGAATTACTCTTCTATACAGTCCCCAGGTGAAGCCAGCAGCTAAATTAACACTAAAGTTACATGTGTCTGAACATGCATGAAGACCATCTGGAGGCCGGCAGATGGCATGGTGGTTAAGGGCGCTGAATTCCCGCATGGCTGACTGCCGTTTGAGTCCACCATACTTGAACTCATCCCTTCCTCCCCCCCTTTCTGGTCAAATTTAAACAAATAAATAAAATTAAACAATTCTTTTTTAAAAAGACTATCTGAAACTCCTCACAGATGTGCGTTGAAGGCTTTCTCTTTATTAATTTTGTAATATTTAATTTTACTTATTATTATTTTTTAATTTGATGGAAGAGAGTGAGAAAGAGAGAGAACGTTAAAAAGCAAACCGCCAGGTCCAGGGCTTGGACCGCGGTGGACCATGTGAGAGTCCAACACCTCAACCACCATGTCACCTGCCAGCCCCAACTGTGCTGAAGACTTTTCAAAACACCCTCCAAGTTGCTTGCACTCTCTTATACACGTAACACACACGTATCCTACATATCACATAAATCTCTGCATCTGGTTACTCAGTGGTTTTGTTTTTTTTCAATTTTTTTGTTTTCTTTTCAACTGAGGCCAGTCTGAGTTTTACTGTACTTACATGTTTACATCAATTATTTTTCCATTTTCAGGATTTCTAACTATTTTTTAAAAATTATTTATTTATTTATTTAATTCCATTTGTTATTATTAGTTTTTAATTTGACCAAAGAGAGAGAAAGACAGACAGGTAGACAGAGAGAGAGAGAGAGAGAGAGAGAGAGCAAGAAAGCAAGTCACCAGGTTTGGAACGTGAACCACAGTCGGCCATGTGGGAATCCAGCACCTTTAACCACCACGCCACCTGCTGGCCCCTCTAATTAGTTTTAATACCCATCTACTTTAGTTTAATTTTGGCCTATTCTTCTCCACACAATTTTCTTTTCTTTGCAAGAAAGGTATTACTTCATTTGTCTTACTGAAGACATTTGTTTTAAAATATTTTATACGCTTTTTTTTCAATTCATGATAAACACACACGTGAGAGAAAAAGAGAAAAGCATCATCCACGGGGCTCAGACACACCACAATCCCCTTCTTCCAGTCCTCCACCTGCCAGGAGCCCAAGTGCCCCGTCCTCCCCGGCTCTCACATGTTTTTAGGCCAGGGCTAAGGACCTGGTGTGGGGCTGTCAGATGGCTTCCAGCTCCACCATTCAGTGCACTGCCAATTGCATGACAGAGACTGAATCTGTGCTGTTTTATTATTTTAATTTTATCTGGGTAAATTTATATCCCAATTCCTACTTTCGCTGGCTGCCTTCTTAGCATTTGTTTTAGAATTTTCATTTACAGCCTCATTCTGAGAAAGGTATTATCTTTCTCCTTCCCTCCCCACTCATCTCTCCTTACTCAGCCAATCTGAGTCCCAGGGCTCCAGTTTGAGTTTCCTACCCTACAGCAATACAAAGGTTATCACAACCTCGGTCTCTAAACTGAAATGAGGTTGGATTCAGTCCTTGGTTATGAGGGCTCCCTGAGGATTGCAGTTTTGCATAATGAGTCACAGAGAGTTCCAGAAAGAGGTCAGCAGCGTAGTTTTCAGCTTCCTTCTGCCAATGTGAGGAGTCCCGTGTTAGCCACTGGCTTACAGACAAGCTCCAACTCTAGCGCAGGGCACCTGCAGTCCTTCTCGTCTGAGTTCAAACACAAAGCTAAGTCCCAATGCCTGCTCTGAGGTATCCACTCTGCGTAAAGAATTAATGTGGCATATTACCAGTTCCATACCTTCCGTAAGAGAACTAGCAAAACTGTTCCTCAAACCATGTTCTGTAGGGCTTAGTTCTCTCACTGAACCCAGCTAGAAACTACCACCATCAGTGCTTTAGTCCCTCTCAGCCCATGGAGAGGTCGGCTTTGTCAACCCCAATAGTAGCTCAACTTTTATAAAACTTTATCTAGGTCGGGACCAGTAGTCAGCGTAATGGCTATGTCGCTGGACTCCCACGTAGTCAACTGCGGTTCAAGTCCTGGACCCGGTGGCTTAAACTCACGCCGGGCGTGTGTGCGTGCGTGCCCAAGATCCCGAGAGGAGAATGGAGGAGAAGGGACTGCAGCGCGGCCATCCCCCCTAGGGGGTGATTTCTCGCTTTCTGTCTCTATGTCTCTCTCTCTGTCTTTCTAGCGAGCACACGTGCCCTATAGCAAACCTCTCAAAAAAAAGAAAAAAAAAAACTTTATCTATACTTCTGTGTTTTTGAAACAGTAACAATGCCTCAAAGGTAGACTCATGCATGATGTGACCAGTCATCCAAGATTTAGCATATTAGGTGGCATGCCACTGTGACTGATGACTTCTACTAACCAGAAGCCCATGTCCAAGTGAAAGGGCTTCTTTGGAATTCCTTGAGAAACTCTTATTACTTATTTTCAGTGAGTTTTAGATTTGCTTTTTCATTATGAAACTAAAGATAGTGGATAGTACCCTAGTTATACTATCTATCTATCTATCTATCTATCTATCTATCTATCTATCTATCTATACCTATGATTTATAAATTAGGTACACTAATAGATTAACAATAACTAATCACAAAATAGAACAAGTATACTACAGTAAGAGTTATGTGAATGTGTTTCTTCTCTCTCAAAATATCTTATTGTGCTGTACTCACCTAGCTTTGGATCACAGCTGACCATAGGTGACTAAAACCATGGAAGCGGAGCCACAGGTAAAAAAAGGACGCTACTGTACCAATAATCAAGTGGGAATGCAAGGTTGATTTAATATCCAAAAATCAGTTAAAATAATGGACTATATTTAACAAAATAAAGGACAAAACCATACGTCTATCCCAACAGACACAAAAGGAAGTATTTGACAAAATTTAAGACTCTTTCATGATAAGAACACTCCAGAAACCAGGAGTGGAAGAGAAATTTGTCCTATGATAAAGGAGATCTACTAACCACCCTAGCTAACATCATAACAGTAACAAAGGACTGAATGCTTTCCCGAAAGATCAGGGACGGGACAAGGACATCTGCTCTTACTGCTTCTATCCTGTGTTGTACTAGAGGTTCAAGTCAGAGTAATTCGGCAAAAATAGGTAACACAAGGCACCAAATTAAAGGGATAGGAAATTACCTCTGTTTGTAGAGAATATTATCTTGCATATAGAAAATCCTACTAAGAACTACTAGACAGAAATGAGCTCAACAAGGTTGCAGAATATAAGATGAATTTACAAAAACAAATCGTATTTCATGGAACAATGTTTTTGTTAAGTGCTCTAAAGTCAGAAGTCATGAACCAAAATTGCCGATCTAAGGTTTTAAGAGCACATCAAAGAGCCTCTCCCCTTAGACATAGCTTTTTCCTTTTCTTTATGACTCTTTTTTTATATGTGATTCACAAATTATGAGTATTTTCTTATTTCCAAATTTACCTGTTCCTAAACCAGAGCCCTAGGGACCAGCAGATGGCGTAATGGTTACATCACTGGACTCCCACATAGTGAACCATGGTTCAAGTCCCAGACCTGGCAGCTTAAAACTCGTGCCAGGCACATGTGTGTGCATGCAAAAATCCAGAGAGGAGAATGTAGAAAAAGGGACTGCAGCGTGGCCATCCACCTGGGTAGTGATTTCTCACTTTCCATCTCTCTCTCTCTGGAAAGCACACGTGCCCTACAGCAAATAACTCTCAAAAAACAAAACCAAGAAAACAAGAGCCTTGTGGAAGTGCATACTCACAGCACCACAATTTTAAAAATGAAGCAGCTAAGACCCTAAAATGTTAAAGTTGTCTAAAGTCACAAATCAAGTAAGAGAAAGAGTCCTATGACCTTTCTGTTTCTCCAGACTGTGTGCACATTTGGAGGTAATAAAGGATATACTATGTATGAATAGACACCGACTAAACGGAATAATAGCTATCAATCAGCTATCCCACATGGCCAGCTACAAGGTTTGAGACCTAGTCCTTTTGGCTTGAAAAACAGACCCAGCACATGTGCATGTGTGCCTAAAATCCCAGGAGGAGGAGGAGAAAAGATTGCAGCATGACCATTCCCCATGGGGTGCTTTCTCACTTTCTTTCATTCTCTCTCTCTCTCTGCAGGGAGTGCACTTGCCCACTAGCAAACTTAAAAAAAAAAAAAAAAAAAAAGACAATAAGAAAGTAAAGTGAATTCCGGAATTTAATTAAAAAAACAATATGAAAAATGTATCCCCTCTTCTAAATCTCTGTTATGGGTCCAGCAGGTGGTGTGGTGGTTAAGAGCACTAGACCCCACACGGCCGACTGCGGTTTGAGTCCTGGACCTGGCGAGCTTGCTCTCTCTCTTGCTCTGTCCCTCACTAGTCAAATTAAAATAAGTAAATAAATAAAGTTAAACAAAATAATTATTTAAAAATAAATAAATCTGTGTTAGACTTCAAAGCAAAAACAGTTGAGAAAATGAGTTTTGGTGCCAGATGCGCATTACATGAAATCAGTTAAGTTACATTTTGCTTTCCGCTCACAAAATAAAATACAGGATTTCTTCCCAAATGATGCTATGTTGAATGAATTATTATCAAGCTATTCTGAAAGCTTCCATTATTAAATGCAGAGTATATTACCCAAGAAAATACACTTTACAAAAGCTTAACTGCTATTTGCCCAGAAAACACACACACACGCACACACACACACACACACACACACACTAATTTTGTTTCTAATGGAAATACTGCCTAAGAATGAAATAACTGACCTGTTGAAATAGTAATCATTTCCCATTTTGTTATCGGCAGCAGCATTACCTTCAGATTACTTAGGTTCTTACAAGAGGTATATTATAACTTAAGAAATTCCAAACTTACCTCTCTGTTGGGTGTACCTTCATCAAGCTGCTCTGTAAATGAAGACGTCCTGCTCCTGGTTCTAGTTGGCGTTGAAGAATTGGAGGATGCCTAGATTTAAAAATGATTGCACAAATTAGAAAGACTACACTGACTGGTACACTGTGTAGTAGGTGAACTGACTCTCAGTACAGGCCTAAAAAAAAAACTCAGTGAAGAAAAGGAAAAGAGCAAGCACACAAAAAGCAGAAAAAGGTAACTAAAACACAACCAGCGAGAAGACTAACGCTGCCTACCGGGTGCTCGGTCTGACTGCCACCAGCTACAACTGCGATCTTGGCTAATTAACTTTGGAAGGGCTCTGTGTCTCCATATGTAACACCAGGTTGTGACAGCAACATAAGATGATGATATTAGGAAAAATGGAACTCAGGTAAATGGCACATGAAGACTGCACTATTTTTGCAACTTTTCTACAAAATTATTCCAATGCTAAAAGTTCATTTAAAAAAAAATGCTATTGGAACCAGCAGTTAGCGTAATGGCTATGTCACTGGACTCCCATGTAGTCGACCATGGTTTGCATCCTGGACCCGGTGGCTTAAAACTCACGCCGGGCGCGTGTGCGTGCGTGCCCAAGATCCCGAGAGGAGAATGGAGAAGAAGGGATTGTGGCGTGACCATCCCCCTCGGGGGGTGATTTCTCGCTTTCTGTCTCTCTGTCTCTCTCTGTCTGGCGAGCGCACACGCCCTATAGAGAAAACCTCTCAAAAAAAAAAAAAGCTATCAATTCAACCTTTAAGTTCCTTTCAGCTCTAACATACAATGCTATGAAATGCACAGGTAAAGGACCCCTCCCCACCTCTTAATCAAGGGCCTTGCTTTAAGCTGACCTCATATACCACAGCTAGATATTAAGATGCTAGGACATGCAGCTCTGTGAAGGACAGCAGGACTCCTGTAATCCTCAGTACAGAAACCCTGAATACAGAGCCAGGTAGTGGCGCAGCAGTGATACAACACTCTGGAAAGGCAAATCCACATGAGGGCCTAGGTTCCCACCTAGAGCTTGCTCTCTGGGCTCGGATATGCCTATGACTGGGGGCTGGCTGCCGGTGGGAGTGGATTGCAAAGACAAGACTCTGTTGGTGGTGTGTCTGTCTGTTTCTCTCTTTCTCATTCATGGAGAAAAGAAACTTTAAAAAGAAAAATTGTAAAAGCCCTCAAGAAAAAGGGCACAGGTCAGCAGGTAGCATGGTGGTTAAGGCACTGAACTCCCACATGGCCACCTGCAGCTCAAGTCTTGGAAACGGCAGCTTGAAACTCACGCCTGGTGTATTTATGTGTATGCTCAAAATCCCAAGCGGAGAATGGAGAAGAAGGGACCACAGTGTGGCTATCCTACCCCCCCATAGGATGATTTCTCACTTTCTCTCTCTGCGTCTCTGTCTTTCCAGGAAGTGCATGGCCCCAAAGCAAAAATCTCTCCAAAAGAGAAAGAGAAAGGGCCTAAAATTTAAATGAGGATTCTGAGGTCTACTCTAAGGTGAGCTAAAAACAGCCCTCAAAGAATAAATGCAAAACTTCAAGACCCCTACACCAGTAACAAAAGAGATCCGAACTCACCTACATATAGAAAGGATCAGCCCTAATGCCTTACCCTTCTGTATTGCAAGCTCCATGTGAAAGGGTCTTTAATATTTATCAAACAAGAGAATGAATGGACAAATGGGACTCTGATAAAATATGCACACACTTCAGGTGTAGCTAAGCTGAAACTGAGAGGTCATGAGGCATGGTATGCATACATAACGCACACTCTACGAACAAACATAGACATACAGAAGATATATGTACATTTACTTTACAATAAATGTAACATTTCACATCAGGATGGATGTTCAGTAAACGGTGCTGGGACAAATGACCATCCCTCTAGGGGCAGAGACACAAATTAGATCCTTACTTCATACTTAAGCTATAGTAAAGATTTAAATTGTCTTTGAAAAGTTAAAATATAAAAAGAAGGGCTTGAAAATCACAACAAATAAATAAATAAATGGTTAAAAAATAAAAAAGAAGAAAATATAAGAATCTATTTCTGTTATCCCTAAATGGAAAAGAGATGTTTACATTAAAAGCAGAAATCAAAAGGGACAGTTGAGGAGCCAGGAGGTAGTGTGGAGGGTAAAGTGCTGGATCCCACATGGCTGACTCCATGGTTCAAGTCCAAGACCTGGTAGCTTGAAAATCAAACCGGGCATGCATGCACAAAATCCCAAAAGGAGAATGGAGAAGAAGGGATTGCTCATGGCTGTCCCCCCAGGGGGGTGACTTTTCACTTTCCCTTTCCCTCTCTCAAGCGCATGCACCCTACAGCAAAAACTTAAAAAACAAAAAAACAAAAATAGGAACAGTTGATCTGGGAGGAAAGAGAAAACATCTACAAAATATGACACAAAGTTCTATAACCCTTTTTCTACAAATAGTTCTTACAAGTCTAGTTAGAACTCAAAAATGTACTAACCCAGTGTTTTTTAATGGGGTAGGGGGATAATTTGAGCTCCACCAGATTCACCCACATGAGCCTGTGAGCCTGAAGTGAGCTCTGTAAGAAAACAGACACACACAATTCTAGCTCATCCGGTGGGCATGGAGACAAAGCCTCACATAGTCATGCAGGAACAAGCTGTGCAGTAGAAGATGCAAAACTGGTGTGACACTGAGCCATGCAATATTCATTATTATTATTTTTATTTACTCGAGAGTGCATGCACTTGTTGGAGAAAGAGGGAGAGAGAAAGGGAAACCTCCTAATGGGAGGTGGTCAAGCTGCAATCACTTGTCCTTGGTTTCTCCTGTCAAGATGTTGGGTACAAAGGCACGTGGTGTTTTTTCAAGCTGCTGGGGTTTAGGTTCGAATCATGCAATGGGTCATGCACGATCCAGCTCCCTTCAACCACTAGGCCACGTAGACGACCCTGCAACATTCTTACTAGAACTGTCTCCCCAGTGGGCTAGAAGCAGCAATCAGGCCAGACTTCTGGGTCCTGAAGAAGATTCTGTAAGTTACCAAATATTCATTAATAAATTATTGTCCTGTTTACCTAGCTGGCCTGAGTTTTGTCTTATAACTAAGAACCCCAACATGTATAGTCCTTTTAACAGGAGTGGCCAGCCCATAGCACGGCCATTAATATGCTGGACCCTACATGGCTGACTTTCTGGTTCAAGTCCTGGACCCAGTGGCTTAAGAAACAATATCAAGTGCATACATGTCCAAAATCCAAAAAAGGAGACAGAAATGAAGAAGGGACTGGCAGGATCACTCCCCATGGGAAATGCTTTCTCACTTTCTCCTCTTAGTCTCTCTCCCACAAGCACATACAACCTGCAGCAAAAATTAAAAAAGGAAGAACCACCAGAAAAATCAACATGTAATAGATGAAATTAGCTATGTACAGAAGTCACCTGGAGAGATATTATCTCCCACCCAAGGCAAAATGGAAATTCCATACTTTTCTTTAACAATCTGGTTAAGTTTCCAAATTACTCATGAATATAAAAAACTACAGATATATATGTAAGAATAGGTTACCTATGAATATAGGTTATTTAATTCTTTATAAGCAACTGGTGTGTTTTCCTGTCTCCAGCACAGATTCTGATTGATATGTAGTAGGAACTGGATACCTATTTGGTGAATGAATAAATTAATTTCTTAATTCAAGCTGACATAGTTTAACAAAATTAAAACAAACAAATGGGGCCAATACGCGGCGTGGTGGTTAAGGTGATGGACTCTCCATGGTCAACCGTGGTTCAAGCCCCAGACCTGGAGGCTTGAAGTCACACCAGGCACATGTGCATACATGCTCCAAATACCAAGAGGAGAATGGGGGAGAGAAGAGATTGTGGTGTGGCCATCCAACACCCCTCAACCCTACCAGGGATGATTTCTCACTTTTCCTCTCTCTTTCTAAGGCGAGTGCACATACCCTATGGCAAAAAACTAAAAACAAACAAAATAGTTGAATGGGAAATAAAGCTCAAGCATTATCATATGCTAAGCACATATGACTAAAGTCAACATTGTGCTTAGAAAATGGGTAGAGAAAGCACGTGTGTTTATCCTGGGACTGAAACTAAATTACAAACATTCAGAGTACTTAGGAAACTGTACTCATTAAAGTGAGGAACATTCAATAAACTCCTCCCACTCCCGGTGCCCTAATTTCTAAACCATGCAAGCTTCAGAAACTGTAGGTGCTTCAATAGCTGCCACTGTGAGGAGCAGGGGCTCCACCTGCATCCACTCACAGTTACATGCATGATCTCCTTTAATGAAAGGGCCAATGAGGCGGTAAAAACTTAGGGGAGGGAATGGGAAACTGCTACTGCTAAGAAAATCTCTCCAAGCAACCTGTGTGATCCTGTCACGTCCAAATGCCCAGATGCCATGGAAAGGGTTACTCTTCCAATCACTTGAAAAGTACACCTCACTACGAATTTTTAAAACTGGCACTATCTTGATCTCATGTGAGTCTAGTCAGTAACTGAGCTTCGTCAGCTCCGGATAAATGGGCAAAATCAAATGACAGGGTTTATAAAGTTGAAGAACAGGTTCTGAATCACAATGTCGTCAGCAAACTAGTAACGCCCGACGCAACTTGGCCTGATGGTTTGCTGGTATTCTTTTGGAGTTGCAGGAATAAGGAGCCCATGAGAGGACAGATATGACTGTGAAATAACAAAACACCACATAAAGAATGAACTGGACTTGAGCATTTGTCACGGGTACCTGGATTTTTTTTTTTTTTTAATTCTGCTAGAGGAAAATGCTAGCCAGAGAAAAATAGAGAAAGGGAAGGAAGAGAAGAGCCCACATGGGAATGGTCATGAGTGTAATCCTGTCTCCATTTCTTCCTCCTTCATGGATTCTGGGTGCACATGCATACATGCCGACGTGTTTTTCAGGTTGCCAGGTACAGGACTCAAACTGTGTGGTCAGCTATGTGGGGCCCAGCTCCCTTACCACTAGACCACAGGCTGGCCCAGTACCTGGATCTTTAGTGGGCTGTTCTCATTTTAAAATATAAAGAGATTTTCAG